TTTGATTTTTATGAACGGTGTTCCCATGGTTACAAAAAATAGAATTTTCAATGAAATTCCTTTAAAATGCTACTCCTCCTACAGTTTTGATTTGATTTCAATATAACTTTGCACACAAGTATACTACACTGAGATACATAAAATAGTGCATCGGATTTTGATTTCGATGAACAGTGTTGCCATTGTTACTAAAAATAGAAATGTCTGCGAAATTCCTTTAAAACGCTACTCTTTCTTAGGCCTCTACAGTTTTGGTCTGATGGCAGTGGCTTCTTTTCTCATCCTTTGTTATGAGTACAAACTAGTAGAGCTACAGTCTCGACAGAGACTTCTGGTTTTTAGCTCTACTGGTCAGAGACCAGAAGAGCTTATGCGATAGTAATGCGTCCGGCGTCCGTCCGTCTGTCTGTCTGTCTGTAAACAATTTTTCAAAACGCTACTCCTCCTACAGTTTTGGTCTGATTTCAGTATAACTTGGCACACGAACAGACTACACTAAGATACATAGAATAGTGCATCGATTTTTGATTTCGACAAACGGTGTTGCCATGGTTACTAAAAATAGAATTTTCTGTGAAATTCCTTTAAAACGCTACTCCTCCTACAGTTTTGATCTGATTTCAATATAACTTGGCACTCAAGTAGACTACACTAAGATACATGAAATAGTGCATCGGTTTTTGGTTTCGATGAACGATGTTACCGTGGTTACTAAAAATAGAATTTTCTGTGAAATTCCTTTAAAACGCTACTCCTTCATTTTTGGTCTGATTTCAATATAACTTGGCACACAAGTAGACTACACTAAGATACATGAAATAGTGCATCGATTTTTGATTTCGAAGAAGGATGTTGCCGTGGTTACTATGAATAGAATTTTCTGTGAAATTCCTTTAAAACGCTACTCCTTCTTCATTTTTGGTCTGATTTCAATATTACGTGGCACACAAGTAGACTACACTAAGATACATGAAATAGTGCATCGGTTTTTGATTTCGAAGAAGGATGTTGCCGTGGTTACTATGAATAGAATTTTCTGTGAAATTCCTTTAAAACGCTACTCCTTCTTCATTTTTGGTCTGATTTCAATATTACGTGGCACACAAGTAGACTAGACTAAGATACATGAAATAGTGCATCGGTTTTTGATTTCGATGAACGGTGTTGCCGTGGTTACTAAAAATAAAATTTTCTGTGAAATTCCTTTAAAATGCTACTCCTCCTACAATTTTGGTCTGGTTACAATATACCTTGGCACACAAGTAGACTACACAAAGATACATAAATTAGTGCATCAGTTTTTTGATTTCGATGAACGGTGTTGCCATTGTTACTAAAAATAGAAATGTCTGTGAAATTCCTTTAAAACGCTACTCCTTCTAAAGTTTTGGTCTGATGGCAATGACACCTTTTTACTCATCCTTTGTTATAAGTACAAACCAGTAGAGCTTCAGTCTCGACAGAGACTTCTGTTTTTTTTTTTTTGCAAAAAGATATATTACAATGTATCTATAGGCATTGAAAATTGGGGTTCAGTCCAGCAAACTTTATTTTGGTTGACCCCCCCCCTTTTCAATTTGCTTTTGACGCCTTTAATGCAATGATTTAATAACTCATTTTTAGCTCTACTGGCCCTTTTCTTTGCATCTAATGTTATAGCCGGTGAGAATTTGCCCCGAATAACCTTTAAACGTTTACAGTATGCTTCTATGAGCACCTCCAGCTCCATCTCACTCCAGTTAGGTTAACGAACTTTTATTTTATCCATTAGGCCTAAACAATTAACTTGGCAGACGACTCGCATTATAATCGAAAGTAGCTAATACGCATGCGCAGCCCCCGTTACTAGGATAGTTTATTTGCCTTCCCTTTTGAAGAGTTCCTGTCGTAAGTTACGTGCAGGTCTACGGGCGTTGATACGACCTTTAGTAAAACGCTATCTACGCACACGTAAATTCAGTCGTAAAGTCTACGTTTACGTCTACGGCAAAATGCACGACCTTTAGTAAAACTCAGTACAGAAGAGCTTATGTCAGAGTATGGTATCCGTCCATCTAGCTGTCTGTAAACAATTTTTCAAAATGCTACAGTTTTGTTCTGATTTCAATACAACTTGGCACACAAGTAGACTACACTAAGATATATAAATTAGTGCATCGGTTGATTTGGATGAACGGTGTTAACATAGCTATTGCCATGGTTACTAAAAATAGAAATTTCTGTGTGTTTCCTATAAAACGCTACTCCTCCTTCAGTATAGGTCTGATGTCAAAATAACTTGGCACACAAGTAGACTAGAGAGAGGACTAAAAGAGGCTTTGCCTGTTGCCTGATCCCATTTTTTGCATCGGTTTTGGAATTGGATGAACGGTGTTGCCATGGTTACAAAAAAATTAGAAATTTCTGTGAAATTCCTTTAAAACACTACCCAGTTTTGTTCTGATTTCAATATACCTTGGCACATAAGTAGACTACACTATGATACATAAATTAATTTCACAGAAATTTCTATTTTTAGTAACCATGGCAACACCGTTCATCCAAAACCTATGCACTAATTTATGTATCTTAGTGAAGTCTACTTGTGCGCCAAGTTATATTGACATCAAATCAAAACTGTAGGAGGAGTAGCGTTTTAAAGGAATTTCACAGAAATTTGTATTTTTTAGTAACCATGGCAACACTGTTCATCCAAAACAGATTCCTTTAAAACGATACTCCTCCTACAGGTTGCTGCCTGTTACAAAGTTTCAACTCCAAGTGCTACTTTTCCTTTGCTGTACGTACAGACCAGTAGAGATACAGTCTCATCAGAAACAGAAACTTCTGGTTACTCAGAACACACTAAAGAGATTAAACATTCAGATTCTGTATACAAAGGTATATACGCATGTAATAATTCATTACTTCATGTACATGTTATTTAAATCCTTCAGTGACAACCTCTACCATTTTATTAATTACCAAAATATTATTATTATTTTTGGATAAAACGAAAGAGGGTTGTAGTTATAAAGAAATGCCCCCCTCCCCTAAAAATAATTTTAAAAATCGCAGGTTTTGAAATATTCTTAAGTATGAAGACGCAATGTCAAAATCTTCGTCTGACCGTAGAACCCTCCCCATTTCCATAGAGTTATGATACTTGTATAATGTATATCATTTAAAATGGACCCACGTACGTGTAATATGCTTAATCCTCTGATTGTTTATAACAGTACGTATCTGCTATGTATTTTGCATTCAACTTACTTCTAAAGTAAATTATATAGTTCCAATATTTTTTACCTCTGTACTTTCACGTGACGTTCCTGGAATATAATTCACAATGATTGTTGAACTTCTATCCACAGGACTGAAATGAATTACAGTATGGCAGACATGTATTTTTTATACAGCTACAGGAAATTTTGATCTATCATAGCTTATATTTTTCTATTATTATTTTATTGATACGAGTTAAACATTAACGTTACGTGAAAACGTTATACTTCTAACTTCTACTCACTATAAGTATATATAAGTTAACAGTGAACTATTATTCAGATTTATTTCTCACTTGTATATAAATGTACAGTCTCTCTATTTCTGGAAAAAGGGAAAACAATTAGTTTATAAGTTTAACATATCAAAGAATTATCTTGCTTTAATGAATATGACATCTAAAACATTTCGTTGATTATCATTTCGTTATTTCGCGACATTGGACTTGGACGACAACAGAAACAAACATGATCAGATAAACCCTGTAAAAGGTTAAGGATGTCTAAAAATAGTCAATAAAATAAGTCAATAATTGTTTTGGCGTGATTGTCATGGCCATTTAATAAAATATTAGATATAATACAATGTATGCGCCGATGATGATTATATGGCAGCATAGGTAAATGAATATGGATAATCATAAGCAAGAGAAATACCATCTTGATCCAAGGAGCCTGGAAAAAACAGTACCCCCCGGAGACAGCATTCTTTGCAAAATTATGCTTAACAAAGTTAAAAACACCACAAACAACTGGAACTTTGAAAGGTCTGCCAAGCACATCAATAAGGTGGATCCTATTCAGCATTTGATCCATGCCATGACGCTGAAACGAGAAATTAAACGAAAACGAGAAAAACACCAAAAGAAAATTTACATTACAATAAAACATGACATATATGCTTAAGGGGAATATAAAATCGACTTAGGGGGAGGGAGGGTGGGTTTAAAAATTTTGAGCGTCTGCTTCACTCAAATTATGGAATAGAAAGGAATATTCTAGAAGACATGCGCATTCAACAAATATTTTTGAGCACCGAACCCGATGAATTATGAACGTAATGATTAGGAGTTATCGATCTTAGCATATGTAAAAAACTAAGCTGCGCGAAATAACCAGGTTTATCCATATTTGATAAACTCCATTATTTCGCGACATTGGACTTGGACGACAACAGAAACAAACATGATCAGATAAACCCTGTAAAAGGTTAAGGATGTCTAAAAATAGTCAATAAAATAAGTCAATAATTGTTTTGGCGTGCTTGTCATGGCCATTTAATAAAATATTAGATATAATACAATGTATGCGCCGATGATGATTATATGGCAGCATAGGTAAATGAATATGGATAATCATAAGCAAGAGAAATACCATCTTGATCCAAGGAGCCTGGAAAAAACAGTACCCCCCGGAGACAGCATTCTTTGCAAAATTATGCCAAATGGGTCAAGGGACCAAGTCACATGACCCATCCGCCACAAACTAACATTGGGGCGGCAATTTTGCAGCCCAAAGTAACAATAAAAGCACAAATTGTGCCCACAAAATTAGGTACCAATTGCACCGAAATTATGCCAAATCGGCTAAGTCACATAAGGCACAAATTGTGCACAAAAAATAAGGTACAAATTGCACCAAAATTATGCCAAATCGGCTCAAGTCATTTAAAGCACAAATTGTGCACACAAAATAAGGTACAAATTGCACCAAAATACAATTGGCTCATGACAAGCATCAAGGAAATGTTGACGAAACAAAATTACAACCAATGAAATGATCCAAAGCATTCCTCAAAGTATTGATAAAAATACTGTTTCCCAAATCTGACAAATGAACTCCATCTTTTCTAAATAATTCCTTGCATTGAGCTCTAATATCTGGATAACTGACTGATGCACCCCGACCCTGAAACTTATTTAGCACAAATGTAGCACAGGCACTATTAATTCTACGTCTACAGTTTTGTCCTTCTGTATTTGCAAGACAATTAATCCAATTATTTCGAGGCAAAATATGTGACCAAATTATAAAAGTTTGTGGAAGTAAATTAGCAATATTTGCCAAAGTTGACTTGCAATATTTTTGAAGACCCCTTAATGTATTGTGAGCCTGACCAATATTATTGCCCCCACAATGTATAATAATAATCTTTGGCTTCTTGTTACGAGCTAACAAAAATTCAATTGTGGGATATAATTGCTCCCAGACCATACCCCGAATTCCATGCCACAAGATGTTGGAAGACTCCTGCCCAAGATTCTCTTGATTTGAATTCTTCGCATATATGTGAGCCCAATGAATAATTGACGAGCCTATGATCCAAATCGAATCTAAATATAAAATTTAAAATTGATGAGCAAATTAAACACTTATTATTATTATTTTTTTTTTTTTGAATTGTAACTTTGTGTCATATGACAATACATATACAGTGTAACTCAATGTAAATTTACAACGAACATGGTCTTATGTACGATTTGTAAGCTGCTGACTGCCACCTTCCCATCTGCTTAATATGATCCTCTGAAAACCCTTTTGTATACAAGTGGGTTGCACCCCCAATGCGAAATGAGTGCGTCTTAAATTGAGTTGACTGTATATTCAGAAACTGCAAAGCTTTGTTTAACATGGACGAAAACTGGTATTCGGTTAAGGGTTTGGAATTTAAATGAGAAAAGTAGGACACCCTTTTTACATTGGTACTTAATGCAGCAAACTTCTGCAAAAATTGAAACAATAAATTTGTATCATTTGATTTTTTCACATGCACAAATGCCCCCGCACCAATTTGATCAGTCTTAGATGTTTTGATAAAGATTTCAATGGTATCACTAGATACAGTTATATGCTGGACACCCAAAGCCACCACTTCACTCACCCTTAGTAATGCAAAGAAAGCCAATGCAAAAGCAGACTGAAATAAAGCTGCTTCAAAATCAGAAAAACACAAATGTGGCAAAACACTGACAATGCTATTCAACAAAGGTAATGTAATTGGTTTTCTTATATCCTGAGATGGATTACATCTCTTGTAACCAGCTAACAACTTCTTAATAATAAATGAATCCACTGGATTCTGCCAACCATGCAAGTTAATGACGAAACTGATTCCTGATAAATAGCATTTGACAGTAGAAAAAGCCATATTACTCTCTGACAGATATGCTATAAAATTAATCATGTGATCAACGGGTGGGGGCCATATCTGCTGGAATGACAACTGTTGTCTAAAATTGAAAAAACTTTGCAATCCCTGACGGTATACATTCGCTGTATTTTGAGATACACTGGCCTGCAGAAGACTGGCTACAGTTCCTGAATAGCTCTCCAAAACTGAATAGGTACCATGGAGGGAAAGGGGTCTGCCCAAGGAGCCAATTGACGAAACCTGGTCCACTGAAACCGAGAAATAGCATCTGCAATTTCATTTTTAACACCTGGTATATGTTGAGCTTTTATTTGTACATTAAACTTGAGGGTCTGCAGAACTAACATCCGGACTAATATCATAATTCTTTTGTTTTTTGATGATTTGTTATTAATGATGTACACCAAAGATAAATTGTCAATATGAAGTAGGAGTTTTTTGTTCCTTAAGCTTTCAGCCCAAATCATAACCCCTAATACAATAGGTACAAGTTCTAGGAAAGTGATATCCCTGTAGCATTCCTCAGGCCAGCCATGAGGCCAATGCAGACTACACCAATGTTTACCGAACACAACACCGCAACCATGAGAACTTGAACTATCTGAATAAAAATGGAGTGAATCATCTTCCTGCCATACAAGACTAGGAAATTGTGTCCTACCATTAAAATCAGTAAGAAATTGAACCCACATTAACAAGTCTAACTTAATTTCTGCTGTAATTCTTATAAAATGGAAAGATTTTTTGACTCCTGCCATTGAACCATAAAGTCTTGAACAAAAAGCCCTTCCAGCTGGCAATGCCTTAACCACAAATGCAAGCGCCCCGGCCAATGACTGCATTTCTTTCAAAGTAACCTTTTTTGAATTAAGTATTCCATTTATCTTTGCCAATAACTCCCTAACTTTATCATCTGGAACAAATATAGTTCCGGAAATAGTATCTATGCCTAAACCTAGAAAACTCAAACGAGTAGAAGGTCCCTCTGTTTTCTCAAAAGCTAAAGGAATGCCTAAGTCTAAACATAACTCTTCAAACTGTCTCATTAAATCCAAACACTGAGATGAATTGGCCCTTCCTACAAACAAAAAATCATCTAAATAGTGAATAATGCTTTTCAATTTAGACCTCTGAGCTAATTCCCAGTGAAGGAATGTAGAAAACTTCTCAAATAAAGAGCACGACAATGAACAACCCATAGGTAAGCACTTGTCAATGTAATATGCACCAGAGTGTTGAAAGCCTAATAAACAAAAATCCTGTGGACAAACTGGTAACAGACGAAATGCACAGGAAATGTCCATTTTTGCTAATAAGGCACCCTCACCCTTACTCGCAATTAAAGAAACAGCATCATCAAAAGTGGAATAACTGACAGAACATAAACTGGGGTCTATGTAGTCATTAACACTGTCACCTGTTGGATATGACAAATTTGTGATCATTCGCCAACCACCTTGTTTTTTGGGAACTAAACCTATTGGATTACATCGCAAATTAGATATTGGGGGGTATAAAAATGGACCCATTATTCTTCCTAACTTAACTTCCTTATCAATTTTCTCCTGTATTTGAAAGCTGTACTGCATTGCAGATTTCATGTTTTTAAACTCCACCCTCCTCCTAGGACCATCAAAATTCAAGGAAAACCCAAATTTGAAACCCAAGGACAAACAATGAGCATCTTGAACATTTGGGTAAGTAGATAATATTTGATTCAAATTTTCACAATTAATAGGTGAGTGACCAAGTTCCCATAAATTCTGACAATTATGTGGCAGAATTGGACTGCGACTGGCCCTTTGAATACTGGAACCGCTGGTTCCTGGAATGGAAATGTGCACGATTATTGAAATTGGTCTGTGATGAAGATTGTTCTGACGCAGCAGTTGAATTAACCTTGAAACATTTCACCAAAGGATGAAAAGCATTACATTTTAGACAACTATGCACATAATTGCAATTTGACTTGTTGCAAATGCCCTGATAATTATAACTGTAGCATTTGTTGCGGGGCTGCAATGACTGCTGGCGTGATAAAGGGTTAGTAGGAGCAGTGGACGAATGCATATAGATCATCCACAGCTCTGCATCAACAGAAGCCCAACTTACAGCGGTGTTGTAAGATTTTTTCAGCCTAAACTGAATATCATATTCTAACCAATTTCCCTTGATTTTTTCAGCCCCCCTCTTTATCAATGACATATACTTAAACAATGAGATTGCTTCAGATGGCTGTTTGACTAAATAAACTGATGCAAAAATTGCAAAAGCATCTAGCCATTGTGATAGGTTTGAAATTTTTTGTTCCTTATGCTTAGGCTTTACCTGAAATACACCATCTTCAAACACAAGCTGATTTTGTTGTGTCGAGGTCGGATCATGAAAGAGAAGTGTACCAAAATTTATGAATTGATTATTGAAAATTTTTTCTTTCACTTTCTGAGGCAAATGCGCTGCTAGGGGTGATGCGGTGCTAATAAATGGATTTGGCAAATTATCTAAAGGGTCAAATTGAATTGTACCTTGATTAACTTCAGCTGAACTAGCGGGCTGCAGGGGAACTAAGGAGGCGACAGTGGACACAGTCTGACGTTGAGTCACGATCGGTGCCTGGTCAGTCACGATCGGTGCCTGGTCAACAATGGTGACATCATGCGGTCGAGGGAGCGTTGCTTCAGGTACACTTCGTTTTTTGGCCCTGGCTGCAGAATTTGTCGTTGTTGTCCGTGAATAGGGACTTCTAGACTTCGAAACTCTCGATGCCCGTAACATACTTATGACAACTCAAAGATGAAACTGCAGATGATGATCGATTAAATCGTTTAAAAATTTTGAGCGTCTGCTTCACTCAAATTATGGAATAGAAAGGAATATTCTAGAAGACATGCGCATTCAACAAATATTTTTGAGCACCGAACCCGATGAATTATGAACGTAATGATTAGGAGTTATCGATCTTAGCATATGTAAAAAACTAAGCTGCGCGAAATAACCAGGTTTATCCATATTTGATAAACTCCATTAATAAGATATCATTTTTAGAGTTTCATTGGGATATGACATGAAGTCGGTCACGTGATCATCGAATTCTATCCAATATCTTTTTTGTAGATCTTAATGTATGAAAAATATACAAAATTTTAATAAATTTTTGATTTCTAAACTGGTTTCTACTAGTAATTGTTTTTTTAAAAATTTGAAACACTTAAAATGTGATTTTGGCAGATTTAAGTTTTTTCCTTAAAGGATTATATAAGAAATGCTATCCTTGGGTATCTTGCACAAATGCCTGGTAAGGTACCTCAATTTTTTATGAGTAAACATGTTAAAGTAGTAATTCTTCGATGATAAAATCTTGGAAAAAATTATATATTATCAAGGAAAGTCTCGTCTGTCCTTAAGTATGAACGATATCTCAGTTATTTCTGCAGGAAGATTTTTGGGAGTTGAACTATGTTCATTCTCCCATGGTCATCACGCATTTAACATGCGCAGTAATTTGTATTGATTACATAAAGCCGAAAGCGAGGCTACTGTGTCGACCGATTTACTCCGATGATATTCAACAGAAAACATGCAGAAACATCCGCCACAAATAGTTCATGTCATTTTCTCCTGAATTGGTCTAATTTTCATAATTTGAAATGTAAGTAAATGTAATGATAAAGTAATCTTATTTTGAATATTAGATTTCGTTCAAAGTAAAACTAAATTATAAAGAACCTTAAAAGTTTTTCGTAATGTAGTGTAGCGTCATTACCGGCCGCCAGGAGGCGCTGTGCGTTTCTGCGGAGTTAAAACAATTTAAATAAAAATATTTAACATTCATATAGTAGTATATATATTAAAAAGAGCTTCTATAACAAGAACGCACAATAAACATAATTTTTTTTTATAAAGAATGAGGTAAATATTTCATCCAATCATGATTGAGAAACTTAGCCATGTTTGAGGTGCGGAGAAAATTAGGACATGTGTTGGGCATAGTGTAAAGCAAAGACCGCGTTATGTATAGTGCACAAATTTACTTTCTCTATTTAATCAGGATTTGTTGTACGTATTTTTTTTTAAAATGACGTGTACACATGTACATATATAAAAATTTTCAAAAATATGGTTAAATATTAACTCATTAAAAGACCTAGCAGGCTACAGAATATTACAAGATTTAGTCCAAGCAGACGAGGATAATGCACGTTTTACAATGTGCCAATAATTTTCCCCTACAACTCAAAGAAACTGAAAGAGAAGAAATGTAGTGGCGGATCTAGAGGGAGTTTAGTTTTTTCCTCTAAGAGAGAGCAAGGAGCCCCACATATTTGTTGCGTTTTTATTAAATTAAAACTACACTGCATATCTAGTTATAGATTACATTAAACATTAGTTTTAAACTTTTAAATGCCTCTTAATTATACAGGCCCACGGTTTGTTGACACAGAGGACCAGGGGTACTTTGCTTATATACACATGTAATACTGAACATGCATTATATAATTAAGAAAATCATGCAATGTCGTACACAAGCGTTTAATGTAACGAGGATATTTATTAACAGATAAATATAAGATATTTTAAACAGATCACCATTTCAGTCTTTAGTTGCTTCATAAAGGGAACAATGGTTTGCGTCAGATTTTTGACGCTTGCGTCAATATATGTTTCTTGTACACTGAAAGAGAAACGAACGACAACTCTACATACTGACGGCAAGCGGTAAATCTAATCTTCTCGACGCCCGACGGTCCCAGATTTTTAGCAATATCTTTTTTACCGGTGCACAGAATTTATTCAAACTTTTCAAGAACATTTTCTTGGTTTAAATGAATTCATTAATGCATAAAAACTTTAGAAAACATGCGTATTTATTACTAAACTAGCAGTATCACCTGCCAAAAGCGGTAAATCTAGTACTCTGTTATAAATGTTAAAACCAAAAACGGACACCGATGTTTTCGTAAAATCGCGATTAAAAACAACAAAATGAAGTTTGTTTTTTGTTTTTTTATAAAAGGAAAACCTCATTTACATACTAGATAATTTGTACGCACACAAACTCTCACATATACCACTGTTTAAATGTTTGGTCATTAAATATTTGTTTTTAACTTGGTATTGCTTTTTTCTTCACAATATTAAAAAAAGTTTTGACGTTCTCCATGTATAATGTTCGTGTAATTGAAATACATTTCTATTCACAGAGAAGTTGAATATAACAAACCTGTTAGCTCTTAAAAGGATGCTGTGTGAAAATCCATATTTTATCAACATTGATATTATTCCTGCGAAACTGAAATTTTCATAACACATGGGTAAAGGTGCCAAGGAAAAATATATCACAAATTTGAAGACTTTGAGCAGTGAATTATATAAATGATCAACCGCCTCTAATATGAATATAATGGCAGTGTCCATGTTTTGCAATGGGAAACCCAAAATATGTGTAGGATGAAAAAGTAATAGAAGGTTCACAACGGCAATATGTAAAGATTCTATGAAAATTTCGTTCAGTGGTGTAAGAGGAGTTGCGGATAAGAGATGGATATACCTAAAGCGTAACAAACAGACGGACGGAAATCCCGATTAATAAATACCCTCCCGCTTTTCAAGCAAGGGGTATAAAAATGAGGAATAATGTAGACAGGCAAGAATTATGGCTCATGCATTTTTTGCTATTCAATGTCTCTGAATGTCTTTCTCAAGATCGTTGCAACTCAAAAAATCTGAAACAGTTGACTGTATTTGAAATAATAATATTGTTCAATCACTTAACCTCCCGATCAAAGATGTTATTTTACACCATGTTCAACTCCCATGAGTGCTTTCAGTACTTTGATTGTATTAGGGCCCCGCTCGGCGGGCGCCCTATAGTGATCAGTCTGTCCGTCCGAGATCTCTTGTCCGGAGCATATCTTCTCTCTCTCTTTGGCCCTATCTGGCTCATACTTCACCCACAGTGTGCCTTTGGGTAACTGGTGTGCAGTGACTTTGAACCATGTTTCTAAATCAAAGGTCAAGGTCATAGCAGAATTATATGAAAAATCCTTGTCCGGATCATATCTTCTCTCTCCTTGGCCCAATCTGACTCAAACTTCACCCACAGTGCCTTACGGTAACCAGTGCGAGTGGCTTTGAACCATGTTTCTAGGTAAAAGGTCAAGGTCAAAGCAGAACTATATGAAAAATCCTTGTCTGGATCATATCTTCTCTCTCCTTGGCCCAATATGGCTCATACTTCACGCACAAAGTGCCTTTGGGTAACCAGTGTGCAGTGACCTTGAGCCATGTTTCTAGGTAAAAGGTCAAGGTCAAAGCAGAATTA